TGATACCTTCTTCGTAAAAATAACAGTAAATCACATTCTCTATCACACAAGCGGAAGACCCCAAATCCATCTCCGATCCTAAATTATTCCATGTACCATCCTTGGGGTTGTAAGCCAAACCATTAGCCCCAACAATGTATAGCTTTCCATCAACCACTACGTTATAAGTTTGATCATGACATCTCAAAAATGTCAAGCTACGATATATCCCTGCACGGCTCAACAAAGGCTCCCAAGTTTCGGTTTTTAGATCGAAAACCTCGATCCAGTTTGATGGATTGTAGTGTTTGTAGCCTCCGGTTACGTATATCTTTCCATCATGGAAACTGGCTGATGGGCGACACCGCTCCACCTGCATGCTTTGACCTTTGAGCCACGTGTGAGACCAGCAGTCTAGGATTGAAACACTTGATGAGGTGGAATCGTAGATGGATCCGCCAATGTTGTAGATTTTTGAACCAACCGCCACGAGATTCAAGCTGAGAGCAGAAGGAGAACGGGGAATCGAGATTGTTGCTAAAACATACCCACTTGACTTCTTCTTCTTCTTCCTAGTGTCATTCGTTAGGATCTGATTAGGTCTCCGACAAAGCATGAACCAGCGAGGGATATGGTCAGTATGAGAGAAACGTAAGCAAACATAGAGACAATTCTCGGTACGACCTAATAGTGACCGGGTCTGGTAAAGCTCCGGTGAAGTAAGGAGCGAGCGGAAGCGCTTGGAGACTAAGGAGAGAGTTGGATAATATAATCTCGAGACACGGGCTAAGATACTCACTATCAAATCTTCTGGAAGTGAAAGATTCAAGGTTGGTTCTATTGGCAGTTTATTTTTCTTCAGTGGTGGCTCTTCATCGTCGTTCATGGCTCAAGATTTAGGTGGTGTTATTCGATGATGGATTTTAATAGAATTGAAATCCAACACTAATCCAGTGTTATTAACCTAATGATTCTAAATGTAACTCTAATAGATTTTAAAGTTTGGTGTTATTCAACTAAGATTTAAAATGCTTCATTAAAATCCAGTGTTATTCAAAACTAAAAGACTTGTAAAATCTTTGTATATCAAATCATTTGAAATGAAACATCTTTGGAGTTTCATGAGTAAATTATTAGAATCATAATCCTAGATATACTGCAGAGATTTTGAACTCCACACAAACAGATTGTTAAAAACAAAATCAGAAATCAAATCTAAACCTCTAAGAATTGACTTTAACTCCATGAATGAATAACACCCCCTTAGGGTTTGAAATGAATTTTCCCAACCTGTCAACTTCCTTCACGAGGGTATAGATATGGATTTGGACTGCAGACGGGCTGAATCAAATGTTCTGGCCCAGTAAGTTCCACATATTGTTTATTTTTTTCGTATCATTTTGAATTTTTTCATAAAATCAAATACTTTTTTCTTACATTTAACATAAATGTATTTAAATAATCACCAAAAAATGAATACATTTAATACTTTTTTTAGCTAATTTAGACCATCTCTACTGAGAGCAAAGAAGTTCGGTGCGAGAGACGAATATATCATAGACTTTCCATGGATTATGTGGTGTATCTGGACGGCACGCAACTCAAAAGTTTTTGGGAATTCTGATGTTCATCCAGCGGATACGCTCCAACTTGCCTGCACAGAAGCAGAATCTTTCCGTATAGCTAGAGCCAGAAAATTGATCATCGTCTCTCAACCGGTCCTCTTAGATCCAGGTTTGCGACCTATTGTTTCAAATTGTTTGATTTGTCAGTTTGATAGATCTTGGAAAGACGCAGCCTCCTTATGCGGCATTGGCTGGATTATTAGCTTTGATCGCCAGATTATTAATCTTGGATTAAAGTGTCTTCGCCAATGTTTTTCTCCCATTCACACAGAGTTTGAAGCGATTTTCTGGGCAATGAGATCCCTCACATCATTATCTATCTTTAATGTTGCTTTTGAGACAGATTGCAAGGAGCTGACTTAGTCAGCTTTTGAACACTCTGGATGAGTGGCCCGCCTTTGCTTCGGAGTTAGAAGATTTTAATGTTTTAAAACTTGGTTTCCCTCTTTTTTTTTAGTTTTTATTCCACGTTTAAACAATGTACGTGCCGATTGCCTCGCTAAAAAGGCAAGACCATGAGATTCTATTTTTTTTTCCATGTAAGCTCTTTAACACCGGACTGGTTTTCTCCCGAAGAAAACCGCCCGTTTCTAACTTAAATGGATGATTCTATTTTACCGTCAAAAAAAAAAAATAGTTGTCAGATAGCACCAGTGGTCTAGTAGTAGAATAGTACCCTGCCACAGTGCAGACTCGGGTTCGATTACCGGCTGGTGCATCAAGCTGTGATGATTTAGGTTTCAGCAATGGTTGGGTTCATTGCACTCTTCTGATCTCTTGGATGTAGTATAGCCTTGTACTGAGCTCTCCTTGTTTTTTTTCTAGGCTTCGATTTACTTATTAATTGAAATGATACTGGGACCTTGTGGTTTAAGCTATTTTTGTCACTGATGAGTTATTTTTGTCCATGATTAATCTATTTAAAGTACGATGGCACATTTACAAGTTACATATATGTTGTCGTTAATTCGATCATGAAATTAACAATAAGTTTGCTATGTATCATAATCACAACATATGATTGAATTGTGACACCTAGATATCAACTGAAGTGCCTCTTATTTCTACATGGACTTCAAACAGAACAAATATTATGCACGAGGAAAGAAAAATCGAAACAAAAGTCAAGACTTTTAATTTTAAAATAAATTAACAAAAGATTAACTCATCTCTTCTCCACTATTCTTTGGTCTTCTCATCACGACTAGAGTCGTCATCTTCCCCGTTCTTCTCTAAGAAATCTAATTTCAGAGCTTTTCATAGTGTAGACGAGATGATGATAGTTTAAATTAGGATTAGACGAATATGGCGGGAAATATCAGGAGCACGTACGTGACTTAGTTCGCAAATCGTTAAGAGTATAAACCGTTGTTGATTAAGCATATATAGTAACAGCTCATGAGACATGGTAGTTTGGGGCAAATGGGTTTGCTTAACCAAGTGGCAAGTGGTCACAGCCCGGTCCATACTCTTTCCCCGTGGACACATCGAGCGGGTGTATGATCCCTTGAGCGCCACTAGAATACCAAACACTCTTTAATCGAACCAAAACAGAGTTTCGTAGGTCTTTTAGATCAACAAAAAAAACAACCATCAAAGCATTACAAAATGAAATATGTTTTTGCAGTAAACTAAAAACAAGAAAGACAATCATCCGTCAAAATGATATAACACCCACATGAATCATACTAAAGATTCACCACATTCAAGTGTGACTCTTATGGCATTTCATCAAACGTTGACAGCACCGACATACTCAAATACATATTCCTTAGGAATTGGATTTGGAAGCACTGCATCAAACCACTCGACCTTCCCCCAAATGTTTCCACTATCACTTCTTTCAAGTGCAATCATGGCACACCAAATCATCCTATTCTGATAGCCAAGACCACCACCAGAAGCCACATACTTGTCCCAAAAAAGTGCCATTTTCCCACCATAATCCGCCAACCTAACATTGGCATGACGAGCAAACTTAGGCAGTTTTCTCATACCATTTAACAAACTTCTCCAGGATCTTGCCTTAGTGTCATACCATTTGATACCTTCTTCGTAATAATAATAGTAAAGCACGTTCTCTATCACACAAGAAGAAAACCATTTCGAACCTAAATTCATCTCCGGTCCTAAACTATCCCATGTATCATCCTTGGGGTTGTAAACAACACCCTTATTCCCAACAACGTATATCTTTCCATCAACAACTACGTTCTTAGTTTTATATAACGTCATTCTGCCTGAACTGCTCAACACAGGCTCCCAAGTTTTGGTTTTCAGATCGAAAACCTCCATATAGTGTGATGCATTTTTGTAACTGGCATGGCCTCCTGTTACGTATATCTTTCCATCAAGGAAATTGGCTGATGGGCGACACCGATCTACCTGCATGCTTGGAGCTTTGAGCCACGTGTTAGACCAGCAGTCTAGGATTGAGACACTATTTGAGCGACAACCGTAGATGGATCCGCCAATGTTGTAGATATTAGAACCAACCGCCACGAGACCCCAACCGTGGGCAGGAGGAGGATGGGGAAATGGGATTGTTTCCAAAACATACCCACTTGACTTATTCTTCTTCTTCTTCTTCCTAGTGTCATTGGTTAGGGTTTCATTAGGTCTCCGACGAAGCATGAACCAGCGAGGGATATGGTCATTATGAGAGAAACGTAAGCACACATAGAGACAATTCTCGGTACAACCTGATAGTGACCGGATCCGGTGAAGCTCCCCCTGAAGTAAGGAGCCAGTGGAAGCGCTTGCAGACTAAGGAGAGATTTCGATAAGAGAATCTTGAGACACGGGCTAAGATAGTCACTATCAAATCTTCTGGAAGTGAAAGATTCAAGGTTGGTTCTATTGGCAGTTTATTCTTCTTCAGTGGTGGCTCTTCATCGTCGTTCATGGCTCAAGCTTTAGGGTTTGAAATGAATTTTCCCAACCTGTCAACTTCCTTCACGAGAGTATAGATATGGATTTGGACTGCAGATGGGCTGAATCAAATGTTCTGGCCCAGTAAGTCCTTAATCAAGCCCGTACGTAGTTCCACATATTGTTTTTATTTTCGTATCAGGTTGAATTTTTTCATAAAATCAAAAACTCTTTTTACTGTAAGTATATTTAAGTAATCACCAAAAAATGGTAACATATGAAACATTTAACCGTTTTGTTGGGGACAAAAAACAATGGTTTCGCTAGGCTCTTTTTAAATAATAAAATAAAAGAGGACAAAATTAACAAAAGAGAAATATAACGGGCGAATGTTAAAAGTAAATAATAATATGAGGGTTTTTTTGTAATAATATTTCTCATTTCCTCTCCAATATTCTTCATCTTCTTCCCAATTCAATTCCTCTAAAAAAAAAACCCTAATTTCTGGGACCTGTGCAGTCGCACAGTTCACTCAAAACTATACACAGAGATGGAAATAGTCGAATCTATAGAAGAGATTCCAGTGCAAAACCCACAAATAGAAGATTTTTCATGGGCTGACTTAACCTGGACCAAATTCGGAACATCTGAGCATCACGACGAAGTAGCACTGATTCCATATTCAAGAGTCGACGAATTCATCATCGGAGAATGCTCAAACGCAGAGTGCCCTACACGATTTCACATCGAAAGAGGAAGAAAACGCTCTCGAGGCAGTCTCAAAGAGTACAAGAGCGATGAGTATTTGGAATATAGACTGTAAGTTTCCATATCAGTTTCAAAGTACTCAAAGATCTCATTTTTCACTTGTGGGTTTCAATGGTCTTACTTCTTATTGAAGGTATTGGTGTTCTTTTGGTCCTGAGAACTATGGAGAAGGTGGTGGTGTTTTACCCAGTAGAAAATATCGTCTCAACACTAGAAATCGAGCTGCGAGACCTCAATCTATGAGAGGATGTACATGTCATTTTGTGGTGAAACGACTCTATGCTCGTCCTTCACTTGCGCTTCTTATATACAATGAGAGACGACATCTGAACAAAGCTGGGTTTGTTTGTCATGGACCTCTTGATAGAGATGCTATTGGTCCTGGTGCTAAGAAGATTCCTTATATATGTAATGAGATTCAGCAGCAAACTATGTCTATGATCTATCTTGGGATTCCTGAAGAAAACGTTTTGGAGAAACATATTGAAGGGATTCAGAGGTATTGTGGTTCTGATGCAACTGTCGATAGTCTTGCCTCTCAGTATGTTCATAAACTTGGGATGATTATCAAACGTTCCACTCATGAGCTGGATTTAGATGATCAAGCGAGTATCAAGATATGGGCTGAGCGCAACAAGAAATCAATCTTCTTTTATCAGGAATCTTCGGAAACGGATCAGTTCATGCTCGGGATTCAAACGGAGTGGCAGTTGCAGCAGCTTGTGCGTTTTGGGCATTGTAGTCTTATTGCAGCTGATTCGACATTTGGGATAAAGAGACTTAAGGTAAAATGGATCTTGTTTTTATGTCTGTCTCTGCTTTTGGGAAGTTTATGTGCTTAATCCTGATATCTGAAACATTGTGGTAGTATCCTCTGTGCACGCTTCTTGTATTTGATTCAAGACATCATGCTCTCCCCGTTGCTTGGATTATCTCGCGTAGCTATTTGAAATCTGATGTTGAGAAGTGGATGAAAATACTGCTCCAACGCGCCAAGAGTGTTGATCCTGGTTTCAAAATCAATGGCTTTATCATTGACGATGCTGCAACAGAGATTGATCCCATAAGGCATGAATGTTGATTCTTCAACTTTGTAAAAAGTTCTAAAATAGGTTAAAGAGTCTATTATTGTGAACTGACTGAATTCCTTTTTTGTTTTTCCAGGGACACATTTTGTTGCCCCATTCTTTTCTCTCTCTGGCGTGTTCGTAGATCCTGGCTTCGGAATGTTGTGAAGAAGTGCGATAGCCTTGAGGTTCAAAGAGATTTATTCAAATGTTTAGGAGAACTCGTGTACAGTATTTGGGATGGAGTAGATACAAAAAAGGCTTTAGAAAGGTTAACTCAGGATTTTGTTGATCAAACCGCGTTCATGCAGTATTTCACATCCACTTGGTTGCCTAAAATAGGTTAGGGCCTTAAATTTTCACCTTCTTATCCCTATTATATAGAACCGTGCACATGTACTCTTGGTCTTAGTGCCTTATATCTTCTTCAATTACTGCAGGAATGTGGCTCTCAGCTATCAAAAGTCTTCCACTTGCAAGCCAAGAAGCATGTGGTGCGATAGAAGCTTACCATATCAAGCTTAAAGTAAAATTGTTTGACGATACACACCTCGGTGCCCTTCAGAGAGTAGATTGGTTGGTACACAAGCTGACGACGGAACTCCATTCGAGTTATTGGCTTGATCGGTATGCTGATGAAAGTGATTCTTTCCAAAATGTTAAAGAAGAATACATTGCTTCTACTTCCTGGCACAGGGCGTCAGAGATTCCAGAATCTGCTGTTACACTAGACGAAAGTAACGTCCTTGTTGCAAAGGTTCAGTCTCAGAGAGATAGCGATGTAACACGAGTTGTGTGGAACCCAGGTTCGGAGTTTGCCTTCTGTGATTGCGCTTGGTCTTTGCAAGGAAATTTATGCAAACACATCATAAAGGTAAATACAATGTGTGAAAACCGCAAAGGATATGGTGACTCAATGTCTTTGCGTTCGTTCAAAGAGAAACTGAGAAACATAAAGATGAAACCTATGGATGACTCGATAGCCTTGGATCTCTCAATGGCATTGACCCTGCAGATGTTTGATCAGATAAAGCAGTTGGTGCAATTAAGCGGAACAGATAATATCAGCAAGATAGTCAATGATATGCCAGTGAAATGGGGTTGTAAGAAAGGCCGAACAACCATAGGCATTCCTGCATCTATTGCTGCCTTTACCAAGAAAAGGATTCAGAAACGAAAGCGATAAGTCAGAGATGAGATGAGAAGTGGTAGCATAGATCTTGTATTGGCATATAAGAACACGTCAGGTTCTTGCGTAGCTTCAGACTTAGAAAATTCATAGACGGTTAGCTTTAGTTATAGGTTCTTGATAGCAGCCATTGCTTCTTCGTTGCTTTTTGCAAGTGTAAATCCTCTAGGTTAATTTCATTGCAATATATTCAAGTTTTGGAAGAAAAGGATTTTATAAGCTTTTTTTTCTTTTCTTTTTTTTCTTTTTCTGGTTAATAGCATTAATGAAAATGTAAACTTTTGAATGGAAAATATCAAAATAATCTCAAGAGGAATGAAACAACTCTCTTCAGATAAGGGAAGAAGCTTGGCGCGCAAGATTGGATCAAGGCACTTCTTGATTGCATATTATAAGCTTAATCATATAATCCATGTTGATTAATTAAGATTATGAAGAAGACAGAGACATGGATTTTAAAATCCATTAGAATACTGCGTTATTGCACGTGTGATTTGCAAAAACCGCCAACCAAAATCTGTAGTTATCCAAATTTTCTATAAAAGTTTTCAAATATTTTGAAGATTTTCTATATATATATTCCAAAACTTCTAGGGCACAGAAAAACGTGTTAGCAGCCATAAGTCATAACTGCCGATAATTACTGCTTCTCTGCCAGGTTTAGATCTCCCACCCTCTTGTCTTCTTGTCGTTTATCTCTGTTCTTCCTACTCTGTTCTGAACCGTGTATTGTTGATAAATCATCTTATAAAAGGTCTTCTTTAGACCTCTCATGTTCTCGTCCAGGGTTTTAGATCTCTATATCATGTCCAGGTTTTAAATTGACTTGTTGTTGTTTTGTTATGCAAACAGTTTTAGTTGCTAGCTTTGATGAACAAAGAAACGGGAGATAATATAGAAGGAAAAGGGAAAGGTGAATATATACGATGGAGACCAGAGGAGAGCAAACTGTTGATTGAACTAGCTGCCGACTGCTTCAAGCGGGGATTGATTGATCCCAATGGAAGAATGCTCAAGGAAACTGTTGAGACAAAGATACTTCCGGTTCTTAACAAAACATTCAAGTGTAAGAAGACCTATAAGCATTACATAAACCGAATGAAGATTTTGAAGAACATATACCGAGATTCTGTCAATCTTCAGCGTTTTAATTCTAAGTTTGAATGGAATCCAATCACAAAGAAGTTCACGGCTCCTGATGAAGTGTGGATTGCTTACTTCAAAGTAAGTTTCTTTTCTGTCTACATAAGAGTAAGATGTATATGTAGTTGCTATTTTACATTGTTACTAATATATACATACTTTTTTTTTGTTTAGGACTATCCGAATCATAGACATATGTTTTACAAGACATATGAAGAATATGAGCATATGAAGCTAGTATTTGGAAAGAGGAGATTTGAGAGATCACCTTCACAAGCATGTAAAGTAGGAGAAAGTGAGAAACTGAAACAAGTAGATCTTACTAGTGATGATAAGGTTCATGAGTCAATGGAAGTAGTTGTACCTGGTACTTCAATCTACTTAGAGAACTTCGTTGGAAATCCAGATCAAGAAGGTAGAACTGATGATGATGCATCGGTCACAAAAAAAGACGTTTGCACAGAGCTAAGATCAATTGATTCGGCCACTGATCACATAATGCAAGGAAGATCAATGGCTGAGAAAAAAATGAAGAATGTTTGGGATGCTCTCAAAGAGATTCCTAACTTGGCGAACACAACCAGATACCAAGCTCTTAACATGATTTTAAAGCTTGATATGAGAGACATATTCGTTAATATGTCTATTGAAGATCGCCTTGGTTGGATTCAGTGCACTATCCAATGAAGACTTGACTTTGTAAGAGCAACCTTATTGAGGGTCTCTTATTTTTAGCTCCTAACTATTTTTTAAATTACAAAGTTAAGAGCCCCATGATTGTTTCTTAACTATTTTCTCTTCCAATGTTAATCTCTAATGAAGTTCTTAAGAAGAAGAAAAAAATCAAATTTTTGCAAAACAATGTCTTTTGTGATAAAACAAGAAGATGTACAAGCATTCATATAAACAAAACTACTATGTTTGGAACCAAAACTCAAAGTTAAACTCAAAGCCATTAACTGATTATGTTTTGCCATTCACACAAAACAGAGCACTTGAACAAATCTCCAAGCACCATAGACATGATTTCACTCGCATTCTTATCACCACAAGTTTTTTTAAGACATTGTTAGTGATTTGTCATGTCGCCACGAGCTTTTGTCTTCATCTTTACGATGCTGTGATTTGTCATCATCTCCACCACTTCGGTTACTCTGATCTCTTGAACTTCTCCACGATCCTCTCTCTTCAAACATTTCAAAGCAAGTAATCAAGTTCATAAGACTTAGCAATTCTTTTAAAGGTTATGGAATGAGGAAAAAGAAAGGTGAGATAATTTGGGGAGAAGTACCAGAAGTTGGTCTTCTGTCACCTTTTGCATCACTAGGAAGATCATCATGCTATTATAAGACACGCACAGGCAAGCCAAAGATTACATATAGCTGAGCATTGCAAGGCATTCAACTGTACGCAATAATCCCATCACATCAGCACAGATTAGAGGCTAAATATGCAGTAAAATAGCAACCCAGTAATCAATTATCTCACCAAAAATTTTAACTGAGCTAATACAAGATCAAATATAAAATCTTTTAGCCATTTCATGGGCAATGAAGCTCAGTAAAAAAAACATTCCAGCAGACCAAAAACTTCCAAGACATCCTATGACCACACATCTACTAGGACAGTAACAAAAAGAACGTTATCAGATGGAAAACAATAATGAAAGGTTTTGGAACCTGAGAATATGGTCTAGAACGAGGCACTTGAGATAGATGGGAAGCTTGTTTGGTGGTCTCATTGTCTTTTCTCGAACCATGAGCATCAGGTTCCAATGGCGCAGCATCTCTCAAGGAGTGACGTGGTTTTTTCTCGGCGTCAGTACCCTCTCTAACATCCAACTCCTTCTTAATCAGAACTCGTTCAGCTTCAGGTTTGCCATCTCTTCTTGATCTCTTGGGGCTAAAGACAAATATAAATGGTTAGTTCTGGAACTGTGGTTTCTGAAGAGCTGGCTAGAGAAGCACTTCAAAAACTTGTACCAAAATCAACTATTATGTTGAAGAGTGGAATTGTGCGTATCAGTGTTCATACTCTAATCTGCTCTAAACAATTGACCATCTTCAGAAAAAATCTCCAGTTTTCGAGAGTGAATTTGACCAAATTAGAGCAGACAGATCATAGGATGATACAAAACATCACTTCAACACTAAAATAACAACTGTGACAAGCATAAATTCCACAATAATCAGCTTGCATTTCGATTCCTCGTTGTTCAAAACCGAATTTTAATTGCTTCAAAGTTATAATAGAAGATGAAGATAGAGCAGGAATCTCCTTAAGAAGAAGTTTGAGAAGAAGACCTGGGTTCGCGATCGATTCCTTATAACACACACACACAGAGACTGTTCTGTTGAATGATGCTGTTTGTGTTCTTCTACTGCTCGTGTGTTGCAAAGAAGGAAGGAAAGAGGTTCCGTGTGTTATGGCCTTTTTGTACTTGGGCCTGGTTTGTGTGAAAGCCCATTGTTGTCTGCAAACGTTTAGTTCACGCTTGCATTGAGATGTGTTGTAGCTGTTGTTGTCTTTTTTGAGTTCCAAGGAAGTGGTAAGAGAAAAAAGGTGTGCAGACACTTGAGTGTGTGTGAGTTTTGAGAGTTTAAAAGAGGTGTAAGGAGAAGTGGAATCGTTAGAGAGAATGGTTGTAGTCTTCTGTTGTTGTTGTTGTTGAAATAAAAGAGGAGTGATGTCTCATGTCTCTTGTTCTGTTTTCTCTTTAAAATCTCTGTTCTAAATCTTTTATGGTGATTTATTCTAATGGATCAAAGAGTTCAACATGTTCTACCTTTCCCAACATCTGCAGGGCTGTCACATTTGTGTCCTCCCAATTCAGTGAACTTCTCCACTAATTCTGTACTTATCTGTCGAATATAGATACAACAATTCAGCATTACTATTCTTTTTCCAACACTCAAAACTCTAACTTAGATCAATCGGGAATAACACAAAGCATAATCTGACTGTGAGAAGTGTCTCTGATGTTCTTCAAGATTTACCTAAGCGTGGTAGAGACTCTCGGTGGAAGAGAGGGTTTGACTGAAGACTCTCAAAGCAGAGCACGTGAGAAGCACGTGGAGTTGTTATGACCGTTGCAACAAACGAGCGGGGCATTTTGGTCATTGAGCTAATCTCGTCTTCTATATCTTTCTTCTCTGTTCTTTGTGTAAATCGGTTGATAGAGAGAGAGATTGAATCAAGAGAGAGGTTAGAGAGAGAAAGCTTGAGAGATCTTGTAAACATACAGTTACCACAAAGTTTCTAGTGGATTTCCGGAGGAGTTTCTCCGGCGAGACGTAGGGAATCCGGTTTGGATCCTGAACTCGTAAAATTGTTGTGTGTCGTTCTTTGCTTTCGTTTTCTTTTCGATTCATTCATAGATCTATTGATCAAGTGTTGATTCAAGTTTGATTAGCTCGGATTAAGAGGAAATCTCAACACTGACACAATTCAAACACATTCAAATCAACACAGATTGAGATTTCTATTGGCAAGAAAAGGATAACGTTCAAACACAAGCCATCACCCAAATCTATCGTTAACCACCGGACTCAATTATCTGAACAGAAAAGGATAACGTACAATTTGATGGTCTTTCAAATCTATCGTCAGCCTCGATTCGCCGATTATGTGAACAGAGAGATCCCTCGACAACCACCGTCGGTGGGGATGATGAGGTAACGCGGCAACGACGGCCAGAGGTAGAAAACAGAGCCGATTACTCCGATTTGGGTCGACTTTACGGCAAGCTTCTTCGGTTTCGTTTTTTTTTTCCGTTTCTATATTTAACGGATCGAGCTCTGAAACGTCGACACGTGTCCACCTCTTAAGTGAGTTTTTGTTCCTTAGCTAAGGACGTTAAAGCACAAAGTTGATTAAATTATATTGCATTAAATGTTAAGAAAAGCTTAAGATTTCTATAAGAGCTTGCTTTTAATCATGCTCTTAGTTCTAATGTAACACTTGTTGATTTTTCGTTTTACTTTGTTTGGTATCCAGCGGTAGCAATTTTTTTATTGATCTTTTGTTTCTAGTTGGCTTTTTTGTTTTGGATTTTTAAAGTTTGCAATAGATTTCAGTTTATTAAGGCTTGAATTGCAACTGAAAATACCTTTTACAGAAAAACAAAATTGATATTAAATAATGAACCAATAGATATCATTACAAATCGTGCATAAATTGTTATTGACATAATAAATCGAAAGCATGAAACTCTACTAAATTAGAAAGAAAAATTACCAATGAGAATTCTTGTTCAGGTGAGTCTGAATTTGTTGGGGTTTGTTCGTTTTTGTCAATTTTTGTGTTGTGTTTTGTGTGGCATGTGAAGTTTTTGTTTTTGAGTGTGGAGGTTTGTGCTGTTTTTCTAGTCTTAAGTGTTTGTCTGGAAGTTCTGTTTTGTGTGATATTGTTTTGTTCTGTATTTGTAATTGTGTTGAGTGTTTGTGAATTTTTTTTTGTTTTTTGGTCGTGTTTGTTGGTTTGGTGTGAGTGTTTTTACCATGAGAAGAGAGACAAAGAGATGTTACCCGACACTTCATTTGTTCTGGACTACGGAATTGCCTTTACGACTTTTGTCACTCAAAGACAAAAACCTGTGCATATGCCATGAAGCCACCAAATATCATTCTTTTTAATCTTGGGGCAACACATTACAAAATTGAACACAGAATAAAATATGTTTAGAGACAGAAACTTACATCTGTTTCTTTGCTTCAAGGTTGTTTTGAAATCTTTGGACGACAACCAGATGATGGAAAGGTACTTTAAAACACCTTTCTAAACGCCAAAGCTTTTGATGATTCAAATGGTTCTGGAGAAAACATCGTTAGCATGAACATATAAAGGGAACGAAGAGGAGAGAACATGTTGACCAGATAACCAGATGATGGAGAGGTACTTTGAACAAATCATGATCTTACTTTTTCAAGCACAATAGCTAGTGATGGGCCTTGGATACCATTGATATTCTTTTCAACCTGAAAAAAATGCACATGACTAATCAGATATTTGGGTTCTCACCATGAATAAAACCCAAGGATACCAACCGTTTCTTGTCCACTGACTCTCAAGATCTCGGCAATGCATCCTTCGGCTGTTTTGTCACACATTTTTCCTGGAATATAGAAGCATAACAAACTGAAACAAACAGACGTGATCAGTGGTTAAAGCTGATGAGGGGTATAACAATTTTAGATGAGTCACCTTCTTGCATGTATAACCTCCAAAAAGTCACTTATTCCAACAAGATGTTTCTTAACCAATCAAAAAGATCTTTACGTCCTTCTGCTCCCATTTTCCCATCTGCTAGGGCTACTATAATTTAAGGAATCTGCATTCATAGAATAAAAAGGACTGTAAGTTGATGTAATTATACTAGCAAGCAGAAGGTAAGGAAGATTTTTGTCAAGATGCACAATACCAAGCCACGAATCAAGAGCAGCCTAGGTGCATTCTCTCATGTGCTTCGTGGAGACATTTTGGAAGTTCAGATAGATAGAATTTGCTGAAGTAGATTACTCAAATATTTGTTAAAACTGGTAGGCAGTATTACTGTAGAGAGTAAAAAATATTTTCAATGCTTGACATGTATCACCAAGCTTGCTCGCTTTCTCCACAGCTGGTCCTGTGGCTACTGCAACATCAATGGTAGTCAATGTTTTGCTTAAGAGCATAAGAAGATTTTTGTTACTATCAAACAGTCGTAGACAACAAATGGTATACACTAAAATAACAGAGAATTATAGAAAAAACACCTGACTTCATACCAGTTCCTGTTGGTTGGATATTATTAGCCTCTTACAGAATTTGATTTACAGCTTCACTTGACTCCAAACGCATCTACAAAGTATGAAAGACTTAGTTTCAACTCTAAAGCTTAAAATAAATTTCCAAAAAAGAATTGTTAGGTTTAGACAAGAAAAGAAAAGTTGCAATTTGTACAGCACCTCCCAAACAAGACTCTCAAAGCCTTTAAGAAAATTTGAAACTGATGTCTTAACAACTCTCTTTGGAGCTGCAGTCTCTGATGAACAAAATATTAAGAAGATTAAGGGTAATCTTGCTAATGATGAACAGAACATAAGTAGAGCAAGAAAAACGAGAAATCCAAAAATTAAGACAATCCACACATATATACCTCAAAAAGGTTTTTTTCTCATATTCGGCGTCAAGTGCACTTAGTAGAGCAGGTTTGAGATCATCAAGAAACACTTTGAAGTCTGCAAAACAAAAATAACATAGCTTGATTAAGTTATTCAGATATGTTCTTTAACAGAAAAAGTTTGCAAAAGCATAAGCAGCTTAAAAGGAATTCTTAGCCACCTGAACCAACAAACTTGTGTAAAGCACTCCAAAAGTTTGATTGTTACATTTCTCGTGAGAGCTGCATCATCCTTACAAAAATCTATCCAATCTTATTAAATGGACAAAAAAAAGCTCTTTGTCTTAATGAAAATAACTTAATTATTGCACTGCAGTTTAATAAAAGGAGATCAGGGGCTGGAAATTTCTAAGTAGAGAAAAGTTCAAACCGTAAGTTTCAAAAGTGAGACACCAGTGACATCAACTGCCAAAACCATCAGTAGCAAGCCTTCACTAAGAACTCATGTTTTTAAAAAGCTACAAACGAAAGCCATGAATCATCATTGTGATCAGATTAAGATGAAATTCGAAGAAAAGTAACCGAACTAGCACATACCCTTTTGAAAACAAATCTAGGACCAACTGCTTTATAGAATGCAGTAGGGCACTTCATAGCAGAGGCTCGTGTCTTTATATATGCAGCTTGGCCATTAGTGCTTGCGAATGATAGAAAAAAACAGCCAAATGAGCAAGAACTAATTCTGTAAGAAACAAAAAATAAAACTGTTGTTAGAATACAACATTCATCAACTGAATGTAGCTTTTTCCTTAGGAAACTTGCCGCAGTCCAAGATAGGTAAGTCCGTAAGTGATGATTTCAATGACTTGCTGCTGAAGCTGTATTTCCAAGTTAAATTAGTCTTAGGGGGAATAATTCTAATATATATATATATATAAGAAGATTTATATGGGATATCAAGCATACCTGCACATATTTCTCATCCCAACCAGGACCTACACACAACAACCAGACCAAGATTTCCACTCACTTGCCTAGTTCTTGTAGACCTTTCAAAGCCAAAGTTGCTACACAACAATATAATCCAAAAACCTCACCAAACTGATAAATACTTCTTTTTTTTAAAGAGCATCTGTGACATGGGCTAATGCAGCTTTGATCTGAAGAATTACAAGGCAACATAAAATAGAGCTTTGTATCAAATTCGGGAGCCTTGCACAACAGAATAATCCTATGTGTAGTGAAATTTGAAATAAACATAGAAAGAGGTAAGCACTAACGATTTCTTGAGAATAAAAGAGTCTTCAATGCCTCCAACAAACCTTCAAGTCTTTCTTTTCATATCATATAGAAAGCTCTAGAATCTGGGGTCTGGGGTTTACAAGAGAACCCATCCCGGCAGGCTAAAAATGAAAAGAAGAATAAGATATTTAACATAACCATTTATAAGTATATTTATATGTACCTCGACATATGCAGGTGGTTCAACTTTCGTTCCATAAAGATCCAGCTTTTTTGCCTGGTTACTTGGTTTCCCAGTCCCAACCTTCTTGCTAGAAGCTATAAACTGTAATCTTTTTATAAGAAATCTCCAGTCGCTCGCTTTATAATGTTGTTGACCAGGGGTTTGGCGTTCAAGTCATATTAATTAAGAAAACAGAAAAAGCTTGAGAAACAAAATTCTTATAAAAGATACATGATTCAATCTGAAGATATTTTCCACCATCACAGATGACAAAAAAGTTGTAAAAAATGTTACCTAGCTCTTGCTGCAAGATGCCATTTTCTATTGTAGTGGCATGTTCATATGAAAATAAATACGAGAAACAAATATCAAATATGGCCAATTCTTAGGTTTCTGCATTGGTTTCTCTTTCTCTTGGGTTTGTGAAAATTCTTAAGTTTCTGTTTTTGTTTTGAGCTTCCTTTTGTGTGTGTTTGAACTTTGTTACTATTGAGTGTTTTGTAATATGTTTTATTACTTTTTGGTTGTGTTTGACTTTGTGTATGCGTGTTTTGTTTTTTGTTGTGTTTAACTTTGTGTATGCGTGTTTTGTGCTCTCTTTTTGTTGTGTTTGAGTTTTATTGCGTTTGAGTGTGTTGTGTTCTGTTTTTGTTGTTGTGTGTGAATGCGTGTTATGTTTTGTGCTATTCGTTTTGTGTGTGAGCGAGAGAGAGAGAGACTCTACCTTGGCTTTCGTTTTCTCTTGCTACCCAATCGTCTCCCCAATCGTCTCCCCAATGATTTGTCTCTGCAGCATAAGAATCCATTCTCCTGAAACCGAAAAAAAATAATTAGCAAACCTTTTTGGCTTTCCCATGTGCAAAAAAACAATACATGCCTTATAGACACTAAATGCACTTTCTTAGTTACATCATCCCTACAGATACAAGTTCTTTAAATATTTTATCTTCCAGTATCATCTCCCTAAATCAATCAAGAGAAAAGCTTACATTAGCACTAGCGACCAAAGTTTATCTTTCGAATATCATCTTTTCAAATAAAACCAGAACCAAGCTTACATTACATTACAACTCCTGTAAGTGACAGTTGAGCAATTGAAGAGCTCATTTCAACAGGAAGACAAAGCCACGAAAACATGAAGTAAAAGCGAGAAACAGAGAAACAATTAACTCATGTAAATTCCATAAAAAGGGAATCTTACCACAATTGTAGTCAAAACACGAGCATCTAAACCGGAGACAGTGATGCAGAACAAATCTAAACCAAAAACAAAGCAGCACAAAACTGTTCACGGTGAAGTTACGGCCATCAAACTCCTTCTCGATCATCTCTTCGATAGCATTCCATGGAAGATTTATTGTCCTAGAGATCCCGAATCAGAATCCCCTTGATCTTCTAATTCTCGTGATCTGTCAAAACTAAAATCACAAAACTATCATAGAGATGGTATCGATGAAATTACAAAATCGATCGATCTCTGGGTTCACGAAAGCAGGAAGATTAACATACCAATTGGGATAAATTAGGTAACAATAACAAAGAACGAGAGACATAGTAACGATAATCGAATCAAGTAAACATATCAATCTTGGAATTAGAATGATCGGAATTGCCTCGACGGAACCCTAAATCTGGGAGTCGTGTAACTGACCTTAGAATCGAGAACGCCCTTTCTAGTGTTAGATTGTCCGTGGCCCAAGCGAAGCAGCCGGAAAAAAGCATTGATACGGTGAAAGAGAATTTAGGGTTTCAAAAGAGCGAAAATTATCAGAGAGAGATTTGTTTACGTTACTCTTCTTCAAACGGTCAATTGCTTATATAGAAAAAAAATCAAATTGCAAAAGAAGAACCCAAGACAAAAGACCCGTTTTAGAAAATAAATATTCAAATTTCAGCTTTGTACACGTCATAATTGTTAGCTGCGAAGACGACCTAAACCAGGATTTTAAAATTTTGGTTTAGTAAAGTCTTATTTTGTTGGTCAGGACTAACCATGATGTAACCACCCTGATCTCATGAACCTATTTTGATTGGTTCGGTTTGGTCTGAAATGTGTGTCAATTACAAATAATTGGTAACCGGAATTAGAGGGTCATATCTAAAGTTTCCGAAGTGCATTTGATTAATTTGTGAGTATTATGCGCATAAAAGTGCATTTGTGGAAATAACTCCAAGTGACAAGTGAAACGCACGTTTTCTTGCGTTTTGCCTTATCTTATCTCATCGTCAAAAACGTTTTTATGGAAAGAGACAGAGCGCGAAGTAATTCTGTCCACTTCCTCTGATTCTGCAAAGCTTGAACCTTTTTTAGGAAATTTTGTTTTTTTTCCAATTAAAAAATGTATTGTCACCACCATTGTCAAAGTCCATGCTCTCGAATCTTTGGTCGTTATCATCATCTTTCTCTATCTCTCGTCGACCTATCCAATGGCAGATTCCAAGGAGCTTGGCTCGGCCAGCCGGCGAATCTCCGTCGTCACCAACCATCTCATCCCTATCGGATTCAATCCAACTCGTGTTGACTCAGTGGAACTCTGTAGTGCTTCGTCGATGGATGATAGTTTCCATAAGGTTCACGGTGAAGTTCCGACCCACGAAGTCGTTTGGAAAAAAGCTGAGTTCTTTGTTGACGGAGATAATAAGGAGTTTGTTGACATTATTTATGAGAAAGCCCTTGATGAAGGCATTGCAAAGGTTTGTGCTTGTTAAGTGTTTGATGAAATTCCTGAGAGAGTTATGTATTTGGTGGAGTGGGTTTTGAATTGCATAGTTTCTTGGTTTTGGGGTTTATGTAGATTACTATAAACCGGCCAGAGAGAAGAAATGCGTTCCGGCCTCAGACTGTGAAGGAGCTTATGCGTGCGTTTAATGATGCTAGAGATGACAGCTCTGTTGGAGTCATCATACTCACTGGCAAGGTAAAGTTCTTAGAACTTGATGTTTCTTTTTCGCTTATGGTTAGTATATTAGCTGATATCTGGTACTAGTTAAATTCTATGAAGCAATAAAAATGGAATAAAGCCATATCAAAAGCTGGATGAACATTGAAGATGGAGTGAAGGAAGGAAAACATAGATATAGGTTATGTTGAACAAAAAAAAAAGGATTTAGGTTATGTTAACTTAAGTCAGAATCTAGATATGAACTTTTTGTTGATTGAAGTGCCAAACTCAAATCCTACTTTGGAGCTGATGACAAACAGTTCGATAGTATTCTTGGATACTGGTTTGTGAAACTATAGTCTGACTAGTATTATTGATGGTTTAGGGAACAAAAGCATTTTGCAGTGGTGGTGATCAGGCGTTAAGAACACAAGACGGTTATGCTGATCCCAATGATGTTGGCCGCCTTAATGTTCTTGATCTTCAGGTATGTCCTTGATCAACAAGACAAGAAAAAGATCAGATTTCCTTATCCTAATCGGATTCATGTATTTGCCACCTTCCTTCTTCTGTTCATACTCAGGTTCAGATCCGCAGATTGCCAAAGCCAGTTATCGCGATGGTAAGAACTTTCAAACAACTGCTAGTTTACTCTATGCATCTTTGTACTGATGTTGGATCACTAGCTCTTTTTCCGTTCATCTATTCCCTTAGACAGAGAGTATTTCTTGTGGCTTATCTATTTGCTTTTAAACTGAGTCAGGTTGCTGGTTATGCTGTTGGAGGAGGACATATCTTGCACATGGTCTGCGATCTAACAATTGCAGCTGATAATGCTATTTTTGGTCAAACGGGTCCTAAGGTTCTCTCCCTCTAGCCTCTGTTTCAGCCTTGAATTGAATGTGTCAATGTAGTAGGAACCAGAGTTATTACTCATCCCCATTGATCATGTGGATTGGCTTGATGTCTGCAGGTTGGAAGTTTTGATGCTGGTTATGGAAGTTCCATCATGTCTCGTCTGGTAATTGCTTGATATAACTGAATAATTCTGTGATGCAATAGCCAAAATCTAACAGACATGGACTGATAATAGGTTGGTCCAAAAAAGGCACGAGAAATGTGGTTTATGACAAGGTTCTACACAGCTCCTGAAGCAGAAAAAATGGGACTTATCAATACAGTTGTGCCGGTAAAGTTAATCAGTAAACCCTGTAGTGTTGTCACAGATTCACAAGATAAATCACGCTATTTGCTGGTAATGTTTTGTTCCTTCACTGAAACCTGTTTTCTGTTCCAGCTAAGAGATTTGGAGAAAGAAACTGTGAAATGGTGCAGAGAAATCTTACGGAACAGTCCAACTGCAATCCGAGTGCTTAAGGCAGCACTTAATGCAGTTGATGATGGCCATGCCGGACTTCAGGTACCTTCTTCAACCAACTTGCTTAGTCTTTTTCGTTCCTAAAGGAACTAAATCTTATAGTCAAATTTGCAATCTAAGTCACAAACTCACTGTAGTCACAAATTTTGATTGGTTCAGTTTTTATGCGGTCTATAGCATGCAGTTTTAACGGATTTACGAACTTTTCTTGCTGCAGGGACTCGGTGGCGATGCAACACTCTTATTCTATGGAACCGAAGAAGCTATCGAAGGAAGAACTGCTTATATGCAACGCCGACCACCGGACTTCTCTAAATTTCCCCGGCGACCTTAAACTCACTTCTAGCTCAGTTAAGGTGTTTTTGTTACAGGATTTGTCCTCATTCCAATCCATGTCCTTTTTTTTTTTCTCATGTGCTTGTTTTGTTTACCAAACTATGAATAATGGATTTAAATTTAGAGTCTTTATTTATTTAAACGTTAAGCTTTACTAGCTTAGCTTAGCGTTTACACACGGAGATTAAAAACATAAACGAAAAATCCAAAAATTAAAAAAAAAAACATAAAAGCCCAACTCCTAAAAAGCCCAACATAAAACCCGACCCGACTTCTCCAATACCCAGAATTCAGTTCTCATCAACAATGGCCGCCACAACATCCTTCGATTCCTTAAGAAGCTTGATACTTTTCTTCAGCTTCTCCCTCTTGCTCGCCACCGACGGAGACTCCTCCAGCATCTTCTCAACGTCTCCTTCGCCAATCTCTTCCATCTCCTTCTGAAATTGACTGTTCACAAAATTCTTCACAGAGAATTGAAGATACAGGGCAAGGTTATCCACAATCCTTCTTACAACGATCGACCAGTAGGCTGCGATTCTCATCTTCATGTCGAACGCTTGCCTAAGTAATTGCGCGTCATACTTCCTTAAATGTGAAATCGAAACATTTCCGAATCCAGTTAAGGTGCAGAAGTTAGAAGTATTACTCTGTACAACATTGATGAAGCTTCCTTGTGCAGCTATCTTCTGAGTGTACACAGTCATCTCCTCAGGGTTACATGTGTAGTCGGTTAGTTTCGCCATCTCAACGATTTCCATCACTCGGTTCACAGATTGTTCCTTGATCTTGGTGATTAGATTCCGTCCAGCTCTTTTGAGTGAGGATTGGGTGTGTGGGAAGTTTTCGGAGTATTTGGTTAGAACAGATAATACAACTTCTTCGATATAGTCCCATGTCTCTGTGATGAACTTGACCGGCTTAGTATGGATAGTAAGGATTTCACGCTGTGAAAGGACAGCTAAGAAGGCGGTATTGGGAAGAAATTAGGAAATCTAATGGATTCACACTTTTCTAGTACTTTGATTTCATCCATCAAGAACTCATTCGTCACGGCTTGGGGCTGTGCTTGCAGATTGGCTGAGAATTGGCCCAACATTTTAGCCAAACGAGCGGTAGAGTGCATGCTTTGATCATCTGGAAATTCAGAATAATCGCCTTGGACTAGAATTTTTGCGAGTGATTTATTGGTGGAACTAATGATATGCAGGAAAGTGGACAAAGCTTCCCTTGTAGAATTCAATACCTTTGGTAGCTTGTTCAACTCAGCGATACTGCTGTCCATTTTCTCATTGATTCTCTGTACGATATCTGGCAAACAACGGGTGATCATTGTCGCTTGGATTTGTATTAACTTCTGAGCTAACACCGGAATACCAACAATCCCATCGTCAATCAAACTTAGCAGTGGATGAGTCCTGAAGAGTAATTCTTCCTGCAACCTAGCTTCTTCATATGTCTCTTCTCCTATGCGGTTTCTAACACAGATGTAACCTAGTCCGATATTCACATCATCTGCAGTTACTTTCTGCAGGAGACCTTCAGGAGCCATGTCAGCCTTTGTCACAACAGCCAGAGTCCGTTCACCAGTTTTGTCAACTTGTCTTGACATGCGAATGGATTCGCATGTGGTGAAGTCGACCGTAGCTGACAGAACATTGAGGATTATTGATTCTTGAGGCTCGATGTACTTCATGATCATCCCAGAAATCTGTTCGTAAATATTCTCCGGTTGTCCATTCACTGGAACTCGAGTAATACCGGGAAGATCGACCATGGTAAGATCTGGGACATTGTTCTTCTTAACACGGAGGGTCAGGGGAGTGTCTGAAACTCTTTTACCAGTTCCTGCAGCACAGGTAGACAAAACTGGTTAGTATTAAACACACAACACTCTAAAGTTCCATCATATAGCAAAAGTAGTGTAAGTAGCATATCAGATGAGTAAAGAGTAAAGACCAATTAGGAGATCAAGAAACGTTAAACACTTTTAGACACTTGTATTCAGGTATATATTACACATCTAACTAGTGAGTTCTATGGTAAGTAATAACAATATGAAGTTTCATCATATTTCAAACTAGTATAATTAAGTGCATGAAAAAAAAACCATAACATTAATGACCCAACTAGGATTCTGAATCAAATAAAACCTCTAGGCACTTTTATTTAGAGACTTCTAAGGTAAATAAAGATCTCCTTTCTAAGGTCCATGTTTAGGATTAAAGGTCGCATTCTATTTGATTTATGTATCAGGTTTGCAGCAAAACACACTTAACACTACACTGAGAAAGAGAGAGAAAACTTACCAGCAATCACATCTGTTGCAGCACAAATAGCTTCAGCGATGTGTTCTTCATCTGTGGGAACAACTTTGTCACTGTATTCCAGCCAGATCTCAGGTTCAGAGCTAGAGCTTCGCTGAAGCCTCATGACAAGAGGAACCCTAGTGCAGATTTCTTGTCCACGAGGCAAATTGATACCTGCTAACGACTCAAGAACACTCGACTTCCCCGAAGACTGGTCTCCAACCACGACAATGGTGGGAAGCTGGATCCCTTCTCTCATCACATTCAGGTTTCTCAATCTGTCGACAGTGTCAAGCATGTCAAGCAATGGCCTGATCTGGTCATTGTAAGATGATACAATTGGTGCTTCAATGGGGACACGCTCGTGTAGATTTGTGTTGACTATAGAAAGAGAAGACATCCCAGCCTCGACATCAATTTCATAATCATTGGACATCTTACTTCCTCCCATTTTTGCTTGAGTATAAACAAAAGAGACTGAGATAGTATGGAAAGGGTTAGATGCAAAGAAGAAAGTTTTTAGTGAGTGAAGAGACTCTTCTTGGTGGTGACATTTATAGATTGGCTTGTGGTGACCTTTGGTGTTTTAACTTTTACAAAGTAGAAGTTTGAAAGTTTTTTTTTTTTGGTTTAATGTAGAAGTTTGAAAGTTCTTCATGCTTTTAAGTACAAGAGATAGATGTAAATGTTGACATTTGTAACTTTTACGGAGTACAAGAGATAAATGTAACTGTTGAACTATTATTTTTCTTTCATTTTTTATCCAAAGACTTTGTAGTTTGAACCACGATAGATTGCAAGTTTATATTATGAACTTTCATCCCGTTACCTCGTGATGCTCCATATTTTCGACAACAATTTAATTTGGTAAAATATTTTAATTTTAATTTTAATATTTCATCAAATTAACGAATGCAATAAAAAAAACTTTTTAATAAAAGCATAATTTTATGATTTAATTTATAAAACTGGAACAACATATATAACGTTAACAACACGTTAAGCGTACAAAAAACAACAACAAAGAGATCACAGAAGTCCCGAACTTTGAAAAACAAACATTTAGGAAAACCCTAAAAACACAAACTCTCTTCACCAAAGCTTGTGAAAGTAGCAATCACGTAACAATCTCTACCCAGAATTCTGATCAACAATGGCGGCAACTGCTTCCTTGGACTCCTTCAAGAGCTTGATACTGTTCTGAAGCTTCTCTCTCTTGCTTGCCACCGACGGCGACTCCTCCAACATCCTCTCAACTCCTCCGCCAGCTATTGGATCCACCATTTCTGCGATAATCTCTTTCTGAAATTGATTATTCACTAGATGCTTCACAGAGAACTGAAGGTAGAGTGCAAGGTTATCCACAATCCTTCGTACAACGATCGTCCAATAAGCTGTGATTCTCACTTTCATGTCGAACGCTTGCCTAAGCAACTGCGCTTCATACTTCCGAAGATGCGAAAGCTTAACCTCCCCAAAACCATATCCAGTTAGTGAGTATTTGGAATAACCGTCCAGTACAGCAGTGATGAAGCTTCCTTGTGCAGCAATCTTCTCGGTGTAAACTGTCATATACTCAGGGTTACATGTGTAGTCGGTTAGTTTCTCCATCTCGACGATTTCGATTACTCTGTTCACAGATTGTTCCTTGATCTTGGAGATTAGATTCCGACCAGCTCTTTTGATTGATGATTGAATCTGGGGGAAGTTTTCAGAGTATTTGGTAAGAACAGATAACAAGACGCCTTCAATGTAGTCCCATGTCTCTTTGATGAACTCAACCGGCTTACTATGAATTGCATCAATACGTTGTGAAAGGATAGCTATGAAGGCAGATCTTGGGATGAAATTAGGCAATCCGATAGATTTGCACTCTTCTAGTACTTTGATTTCATCCATCAAGAACTCCTCTGTCACTGGCTGTGCTCGTAGATTTTCTGCGAATTGGCCCAACACGTCAGCCAAACGAGCAGTAGAGTGCATGCTTTTATCATCTTCATAGTCACAGAAGTCTCCTTGTACAAGAATCCTTTGTAGACACTCCTTGGCAGAACCAATGATGTTCATGAAAGTCATCAAAGCTTCTTGACTTGAAGTCATTACCATTGGTAGCTTATTCAGCTCAAAGTAACTTACTTCCATCTTCTCTTTGATCTTCTGAACGATATCAGGCAAGCAACGAGCAATCATTGTTCCCTGGATCTGCATCAACCTTTTAGCTAAAACCGGGATACCTACAATGTCATGGTCAATCATAGAAAGCAATGGATGAGTCTTGAAAAGTAATTCTTCATGCATCCTAGCTTCTTGATATGTCTCATCACCTACACGGTTCCTTACACAGACGTAACCTAGTCCAATACTCACGTCGTCTGCCATTACTTTCTCTAGGAGACCTTCAGGAGCCATGTCGGCTTTTGTCACGACAGCCAGAGTCCGTTCCCCTGTTTTGTCAACTTGTCGAGACATACGGATGGATTCACAGGTGGTGAAGTCGACTGTAGCTGACAGGACATTGAGGATGATGGATTCTTGTGGCTCGATGTACTTCATTATCATCCCAGAGATTTGTTCATAGATGTTTTCTGGCTGTCCATTCACGGGAACACGGGTTATACCGGGGAGATCAACCATTGTCAAATCAGGAACACCATTCTTCTTAACATGTAGGGTCAGGGGAGTATCTGAGACGCCCTTACCAGATCCTACAAATGGGTATATTTACAATATAGCAATCCATTAGTTAGTCTCAAACATGCTACAATCAATGTTGCAGTATGAAAATTCAGATTACTTAGATTACACATATAGGCTCTAATATACTTACTATCATGTTGGGGACACTAGTTTTAAGAATATGTCTTGTTGGTTTATACCAAATAACATACTTTAACATTCTGATAAAGAGAAAGTCAGAACTTACCAGCAATTGCCTCAGTTGTGATGCTAATAGCTTCCGCTATATGCTCCTCGTCAGTATCAACTCTTTTGTCATTGAACTCAAGCCAGATATCTCAGGTTCAGGACTAAGACTTCTCTGGAGTCTCATCACAAGAGGAACCCTAGTGCAGATTCCTTGCCCACGAGGTAAACTGATTCCGGCCAAGGACTCAAGAACACTTGACTTCCCCGAAGACTGGTCTCCAACCACGACAATGGTGGGAAGCTGGATCCCTTCTTTCATCACATTAAGGTTTCTCAGCTTGTCCACAGTATCAAGCAACGGCCTGATCCGGTCATTGTAAGAAGAGACAATTGGTGCTTCAGTAGGGATTGTGTTGACTATAGAAAGAGAAGACATCCCGGCTTCCACATTAATTTCAGAAACTGTTGGCATCTTACTACCTCCCATTTTTGCCTGAAAGTGAGAAAAAAAAAAAGAGATCGAGAAAGTAGGAAAAAGATAGAAACAGAGAAGAAATGTTTTTCAGTGAGTGAGACTCTTGCTAGTGGCAACATATATATATACTAGAAAGCTGCCCACGCGATGCGTGGGTTACATATTTAATATTAATTTTGAATAAAAATAAAATTTGTATTAAAGTAATATGTTCGATTATTAATATAGTTTTTTGAAAAGAATTTTTTAAAATATTAACTTTTATGTTCCTTTTCGAAGTACTTTTGTGAATTGTTAGAAAATAAATTTTGTTCTTTTTTTATTCATGGTGGTATGACATAAATATACGCCACTACTTTTTCTTAATTTACATAAAATATTTTATTTTGGAAATATATATATCATACTTCATCATAGAGTCTCTTGTTTGCTGATTCACGATCCTTGGATCGGGAAAACGGCCAAAATCAACTCCAACTATTTTTCTGCAGCTTTTTCCAACCCAAACTCTGACCCCAGCACTTATCAATCCGAACTCAGACCATTTTTAAAAAACAAACCTAAACTATCTAACTGTTATCCAATTTCAACATAGTTTTTTTTGTATTTGTTAATGTCGATTAGAATTGTAAAGTCGTAATTATCTGTTCTTTTGTATCTGAATCATTCCTTTTATTCAATTGGCTAAAGTTTAAATAATTCAGGTTTGTTACATTATTTAATAACAGGTATATGTTAAAATTGGCTAACGATTACATAGTTCAGGTTTGTTATTTAAAATTTATGTGGGTTCGAGTTGATAATTGGGGTTGATATCGGCCGTTTTCCCTCCTTGGATCTCATCAGAAGGTAGATCTTCCCAATCTCATGACTTTCCTCGACAATAAGCTTTACATATTATATCCATATAATCCATAATAAAATTAGGAGATCAAAGGTAAAACATATTCATATTTATTAATGTTTTTGCTTAATAAATGAGCAAAAACATATTTTATATATGTTAATCTGGGTTTTTCACATCTCTTTCTCGCTTCTGACTTAGCACAGCTAGTCATAGCTTTAAAATCGGAGCTTCAGCACAAGAAGCTTCATGGGATTCTCTTCGATATCCTAAATTTATCTTATATCTTTGATGTTATTTCGTTTAGTTTCATTCCCCGTTTGCAGAACTCTGATGCCGATTCATTGGCAAAACAGTCTCTGGTTTCTCTTGTAATGGACCTGGCCCAAACCTAAGTTAAATTGAATCAGCCTTTGCACAAAAAAAAATATATGTTACACTTAATTATAATCATATTTAATTTAGGAAAATGATTTCAGATGATATAATAAAAATTTTATTTTTGAAAGTTTATATTAAAAGAATTTAGTTCAGTTTTAATATATATATGTAGGTCATAAGAGAACAAAACTTTAATAAATATAATGTAATGCCGTTTACCTAAATACTTTAATGACATGTTATATTTTAACTGAATAAGTTAATTATGATATTCTATGCAATTACCCTTATCAAACATAATTCTTTTCAAAAATCCCATGAGCATAGATAAAAAAAAAAACCTTTGGTGGAACTTTTTAAATTTTTTGGTTGAATTTCATTGGGTTGGTTTAATGGAAACTTTGATAAAAATAAATACAAATTTTATATTCTTTCATATGATCTTTATTTCTTACTTAATTTGTATGATTAACTAAAAAAAATTGAATTCAAAACATAATCAAGTCAAATGTTATACAATATTAAAAATCAGAAAACTATTTACTCGAGATATACGAAACTCAAACGTCGATCCCTCTCAAACGTTGAGTAATTATGTAAAAGAAATAAAGAATGGCATAAACTATTTGATTTTTTTTTGACTCATGGTCCCATTAGTTTTACGTATTCAAGAACAAAATCATCTTGAAACAACTTTACGTATTAAAAAACAAAAGAAAACAAACTCTTAACTTTTTGATAAGTGATGTTGAGAATAATTACATAAATGGTTTTTCAATTTATATCATAAATTTTTTAACAAACTTATGGTTTTCAAATTTATGAATACATATAGATCATAAGAGTAAAAAAATTTAATAAATATAATGAACTGCCATTTATCTAAATACTTAAATTTATAATTACACTTTAACTGACCATAATAATAGATATAAATTTTCTCAATGAATGTATATAAATCTTATTGGTGAGTTGAAAAATAGAGAAACAATTAAAAATAGAACTTAAAAATAGAACACTTTTATGTAGAACTAATGGTGTTGGTGAAGCTAACTTGAACACCATATGAAATCACAAACCTAATTAACTTGAACACCAAATGAGAAAACTTTTGTAGATATTTTTATTATGTGAATGATAGCCTGAAATAAAGAGAAAGCAACTAAAAGTCAATAAAAATAAAAGAACGGACTGGAAAAAGCAAAAACTCTACAAGAGTTTTTTTAGTTTCACATGTGGGTAATATACAGTAAAACCTCTATAGGGTAAATTAATATTTATTAATTTATAGAAGTATTTATGAAAAAATGATATTTCAAAGACAATAAATGAATTTTTTAAATAATATACATAAATTAAAATTTATGACTAATGATATCAATTTTTGTATTTAAATCGTTTATACGATTATCAAAATGAAAATGATGTATATTCAGAATTTGAAAATTTATTAAAAAAAATCGTCTATTTTATGAAATATTTTTATAGACAATGATAAAATAAAATAGTTTAAAAACACAACATAACATTTTTTATATCAAAAAGTTAGTGATCAGTTAATTTTATGAAAAATTCATTTTAAAACACTTAACCAATACCATATATTGATATATTTTTTCACGTATAATATATATATATATATATATATATATGTAAATTTACATAGATTATTAATTTATGATATTATTGGGACCATATTTTTACATAGGAGTTTCAAAAAAGTTATTATCTTATTATCTTATCGAATTTCGTCAATTTTTACACTAGCCCGACTCGGGACCGGCAATATTTATTAATTTATAGTGATTATTAATTTATAGAGTATTAATTTATAGAGGTTTTAATGTATACAAGAATTAATTGGATTTAATGTTTTGAATTAATTGGAGTTATTGTGGTTATCTGTTAGCCTAATGCATCAATTTAGAGTTGTTTGACGTTACATATGTTTTACATTTGTGGGTTTTACTTTGGGTAACTAATTCCAGAACAAAAAAAAAACACTAATATATTTGGTATTAGAAGCCACATGGAAAGCGTTACTGGAGAAGAAAACTCTTCACAAACATTTATTTTGAGAAAAGGCGTAACACATGGAGCAATACATTAATATAATGCATGTTACTATATTTCTTTATTAAAATTACATTGACTGTTACATAAGTTAGAATTTCATTTACTGAGACATTTATAAAACAATATATGGGAAGACATATTAAATTTAATAATTCCTGTAAATTATATATACTATATAAATACATTAAATGTATTGTGTAATAAAAATTGTAAATAAATACTCCAACTTGGACGTGTGAGAATAAATTGGTGTTATAAAAATTAAAACAAAAAAAAGTGAAATTGGAAAGAAGAAAAAAAAAGACAAATTAGAAAAGATTAGAAATGTATTTTATGGAGATATTAAAATATTATGTATGATAGAAAAATGAGGAAAACAATTAAATTTAAAAATAGATGCCAAATGTACTAATATTATGAGAAGTTTAAAAAATGTACTATTGTACCAATAGGATAAGTGGTGATTTTGAGAATAAATTGGTGTTATAAAAATTAAAACAAAAAAAAAAAGTGAAATTGGAAAGAAGAAGAAAAAAAGACAAATTAGAAAAGATTAGAAATGTATTTTATGGAGATATTAAAATATTATGTAAGATAGAAAAATGAGGAAAATATTTAAATTTAAAATAGATGCCAAATGTACTAATATTATGAGAAGTTTTAAAAATGTACTATTGTACCAATAGGATAAGTGGTGATTTTAAGTAGATAATAATTTTGGTAAAATAAATTAGATACAATTTCAATTTAAATACATGTCAAATGTACCAATAGGATAAGAGAAATATATTTTTTGGAATTAAATTGTAGGCACAAACTTTCAAAACTAAAGATTTTAAATAAATTAAAACAAACATTGATGCAATGAAGTATGACACATGTCACCAAAAGAGAGTGTCAAATGTCGCAATGGTAGGAAAAGTTAGAACAAAACCTTCTCATATTATATAAGATAGAGAGAGAGAGAGTGGCTTGCTGTGCCGTTAAATATAAAGTTTGAAAAGTTATTCATGGTTTTTAGTACAAGAGATAAGACTAAATGTATATGTTAGAACTATTATTTACATGTAGTGTCTCTATTTTTTCTCTAACAAATTCTTCCATGTGTATATAATGAATTCGACTGGTGATATAAACCGCTAAAAGTTTAGTAGAAATAAAGTGATAAACGATACTACTATAGTTTATATTGTAACATGGTTTTTTTTGGGTTGAATATATTTAACATTCATTAAAAAAAAAAAAAAAAAAAAGATACTACTATAGTTAAAGGAGGAAAATAGATATTAGTAAAAGAAAGCGGAACAAAAATAGATAAATGGTATCGTCTTTCGTATCGTTTATTTTTTTCATTTTTGTGAATTGTGACCATACTAATAGTATTAACTCCAAATACAGAGATTTTTCAAAATTATACTTACTTTGTTTCACAAAAAGTGTTATTTTAAACTTTATTTTTGTTATACAAAGAGGTTCATTTTATATTTTTGATGCAGTTTTTAAAACGAAATCTCTTTTTCATTCTTATTATCTTAGTTTATTAGTTAGGTACAAAAATTTATATCTACAAAAAGATATAGTAAAAATTTACATAATTTTCTTAGTTTGTATGAAACATGTCAAAATGACGATGAAACAAAGGGAGTTGTCAACTGGATAAATAATTTTTTTACTTAGCATCCTAACAAAATTAAACCCAAAATTCTAACATCCATTTTTTTGTAAATTAGACATGATGTAAGAAAATAACATGTTATATATAAATGTCATTCGTCTTATAACAATTAAATGAAAAAAATAAATCTTCCAAACTCATAAAAAAATATTTCTATAATCATACAAATATTTATATTTGCATTGCAATTTTTTTTTTATAATTGTCATGTTGCTATTTTTTAAAAATTGTCATGCAACTTTTTGTCAGTAGGGTATACAAATTTCTTAAATTTGATTATTCAGACCAATGAAGCTCTTGTAAGGGTTTAACTTTGCTTTAGTTATGTACGGACTTTCTTTTTCTTTTTCTTTTCTTATTCCACCGAGCAAACCCACCATACGAAGTTATTGGCTTTATTCCACATTTCCTATAAAGGAATTCGATTTTAATTTTTTGATTTGAGATAAATATCGTAATTTTATGAAATTCATTCAAACGGTAAAAGAGGCCAACGTAACGTTATTAAGCTTAATAGCTTAATCGTTACCACACACAAAATATTACAAACATAAACGAGAAAATCCGAAAGTTCAAAGAAAAACACAAAGGGCCCAACTCCAAAACAGAAACCCATCAGAGAGCCCTAAAAAACCTGACCCGACTTAACCGAAGCAAATTAATCCATAACCCGACCCGACTTCACCAAAGCTCCACGAAAGAAACAATCGATCAGCGATCACCATACCCAGAACTCTGATCAACAATGGCGGCAACAGCATCCTTGGACTCCTTCAGAAGCTTGATACTGTTCTTCAGCTTCTCTCTCTTGCTCGCCACCGACGGAGACTCCTCCAGCATCCTCTCAACTCCTCCGCCAGCTCTTGGATCCACCATCTCCGCCACAATCTCCTTCTGAAATTGACTGTTCACAAGATACTTCACAGATAGCTGAAGATACAGCGCAAGGCTGTCAACAATCCTACGCAAGACGATCGTCCAGTAGGATGTGATCCTCATCTTCATATCGAACGCTTGCTGGAGCAAATGTGCATGATATTTCCGTAGGTGCGAGATTGGAACAATCCCAAATCCATTTAAGGAGAAGAACTCAGGTTTATTCCCATCGTACAACACAGCATGAATGAATTTTTGTTGTTCAGCAGTCTTCTGAGTCCAAGACGTCATGTACTCAGGGTTACATGTGTAATCCGTCAGCTTCTCCATTTCAACTATCTCCATCACTCGCTCCACTGATTGTTCCTTGATCTTGGTGATTAGATTTCGACCGGCACGTTTGATGGCTGATTGGATCTGTGGGAAGTTTTCCGAGTACTTGGTAATGACTGATGAGAGAACAACTTCAATGTAGTTCCATATCTTCCTGATGAACTCAACTGGCTTGTCATGAATATTATCAACGTGTTGTGAGAGAATGGCCAAGAAAGCTGATCTCGGGATGAAATTGGGCAATCCAACACACTTGCATTCGTCAAGGATCTTGATTTCATCCATCAAGAACTCACTCACAACCTTTGGCTTTGCTTGCAGATTGTCTGAGAATTGGCTTAACATATCAGCCAAGCGAGCAGTACAGTGCATGTTCTGATCATCTGGGAATTCAGAGAAATCTCCTTGGACAAGAATTCTTAAGAGTGACTCCTTGGCAGAACCAATGATGTCCATCAATGCCATCAATGCTTCTCCGGTAGAAGCCATTACCATTGGTAGCTTGTTCAACTCAAGGACAGCGGTTTCCATCTTGTGATTGATCTTGCGAACAATTTCAGGCAAACAGCGGGAAATCATCGTTGCTTGGATAAGCATAAGCTTCTGAGCTAAAACCGGGATGCCAACAATGTCATCATCGATCAAGCTTAGCATTGGATGAGTCCTGAAAAGTAACTCTTCTTGAAGCCTTGCTTCTTCATATGTCTCTTCTCCTATGCGGTTTCTGACACAGACGTAACCTAGACCTATACTCACATCATCTGCTGTTACTTTCTGCAGGAGTCCTTCAGGAGCCATGTCTGCCTTTGTGACAACAGCCAAAGTCCGTTCCCCTGTTTTGTCAACTTGTCTTGACATGCGAATGGATTCACATGTGGTGAAATCCACCGTAGCTGACAGAACGTTGAGGATTATTGATTCTTGAGGCTCGATGTACTTCATGATCATTGAAGAGATCTGCTCATAAATATTTTCCGGCTGTCCATTCACTGGAACTCGAGTTATTCCAGGAAGATCGACCATGGTAAGATCTGGAACACCAGCCTTCTTCACATGGAGGGTCAATGGAGCGTCTGAGACCCCTTTACCAGATCCTGCAGCATATAGGTAGTCAAACCTGGTTAGTCTCAAACACACAACACTCTAAAGTTCTATCATAAAGAGAAACTAGTGTAAAGAGCACTACAATAATCAGACCAAACTAGAAGTTCCATAATCATATTTCACCTCTAGGTACTTGTATTCAGGTTTATGCACACATCTTATTTTAGGTAGAAGTAAGTAACACACGTGATACGTGAAGAGAAAGTATAATTAACAGCATGAAAAAAGTCAGAACATTAAGACCCAACTAGGAGTTCTAGAGTATATAAAAAACATCTCTAGGCACTTTCATTTAAGTATATGTACACATCTAATCCAAGGACTTCTATGGTAAGGAAACCAACTTATTTCTAATATTTATGTTTCAGATTAAAGGTCTCATTCTCAATAGTCTCTCTTGCTGCAAAACACACTTAACACCTACGAGAGAGAGTGAGCTTACCTGCAATCACATCTGTTGCAGCGCAAATAGCTTCAGTGATGTGTTCTTCATCTGTGGGAACAACTTTGTCACTGTACTCAAGCCAAATCTCAGGTTCAAGGCTAGAGCTTCGCTGAAGTCTCATGACAAGAGGAACCCTAGTGCAGATTCCTTGCCCACGAGGCAAACTGATTCCAGCCAAGGATTCAAGAACACTCGATTTCCCTGAGGACTGGTCTCCAACCACAACAATGGTGGGAAGCTGGATCCCTTCTCTCATCACATTGAGGTTCCTTAGCCTGTCAACAGTGTCAAGCAACGGCCTGATCCGGTCATTGTAAGATGAGACAATCGGTGCTTCAATTGGAACAACATCTTTGTTGTCATGAGGATTTGTTGCAACAATTGCAAGAGAAGGAGTGGTTCTGGTGACAACATGCTTCTTACTACCTCCCATTTTGATTCTTGAGACAAGACAAGAGTAGAAGAGATAAGAGACAGAAAAGAGAAGTTTTAAGTGTTAAGTGAGATTCTTCTTAGAGATATGCAAAGATATATATATAGAGATATTAGAAGGGCTTGTGTATATGAAGAATATACGAAACAAGTAAATTGCATGAAAGGATGCAAGTAGCGTGCATGTTGGAATTGAAAAAAGCTAATTAAGTCAGTAATTGCACCTATATCTAGCTCGTAGTTGAAGCTAAAAAGTCTCACTTAAATCCTTTATTATTATATGTGTGTATTTGAATATTTTATTGGCTCCAATTGGCTGATTTCTTCTGTGGTGACGTTTGGACTTTTGACTAAAGGAACTTGATAAAGTTCGTTCATTGGGCTCAACACTTGATAATTTCCAATGGTTGTTAGCAGATGCTTCAATTGCAGACATGATTTAAGTTATGTAGACAACGTTTCAGAACATATTTTCTTGGAATTAATGTTCTCATTAATAATGTTAAGGAAATGTTAAGCAGAAAGTAATTCAGATGGGAAATAGAATTATGCAGAGAGAGATTAATTATCCTAGCTTAGTTTAAAATCTGATATCAAGTTTCTAAATTATTCGTGATTTACAAGTTTCATAGAACTAAACTTCGTAGGCTTTTGCAACCAGTTTATCGTTTCATATCTTTCTTCTGATGATGTGATTTAAACGAAAGCCTGCCTATAAAAGAGACCTCTGAATGGTGTCAAATAGTACCGTTTTCGGTTAGTGAACGGGACAGAAATGTGGAAACAGTATTTCAATGGTCGCTGTTCGCAAATGAAGAAGATCTTCTTAGTTCCAGGAGAGTTTTTATTACAAGGAGAAGCTACAGACAAACAAAGGAGTTCGTTCTTTTAATTCTTTGAGAATACTTTGTAGCTAAGTTTTATTTGGATTGTGTTCTCTATCAATTTATTTAATGTGGATTCTCAAATGCTATTACCTTTTTTTTTCCTGACAACATGCTACTACCTTTTCAAATTGACATTTTGTGAATATTTCCGCAAATCTATTGAGATAGTTTTGAGCTAGAACTAGTCAAAATTTTATGTTTCTATAGTGCATGTAAAGCCTATTAAAAATCTTTAGGAAGAAAAAAATGGAATGTGTAGGACGACATACCTGTTAGAATTGAGTCCATGATTAAATCATTTAATATCATATGTGGTAAATCCAACGGATGTCATGTGTTACATGTGACTCACTCGAACGGGTGTGTGTGAGTAAGAGACGTAACTTGTGAGATAAGTTACAACTGTTACCAACGGTTACGTAGAGTTATGTAAACATGTATATAAGTGTGTGTGTCTTGTCTTAATAAAACAACAAGTTTCAGTTTAATCAAAAGATTTCTATTTTGTTCTTGTCTTCTTTAAAAGAGAAGAGATACTATCTCTTACTCTGTTTCTTCATAGTCTCAATAATCCAACATGGTATCAGAGCTTATTTGGTCTTGGAGCCTGTCCAAGTAAAACAAAGATAAGAAGAATTCCGCTGCGAGAAGAAGAGAAAGATGGAGCCAACATTTCTTACGGTTAGAAACCGAAAAAAAAAAAAGGAGAAAAAGAAGAAGAAGAAGACGTAATAGAAAAGGAAGAACAAGAAGAGGTGGTAACAAGAGAGAGTACCATCAGCCTTCACAAACACATTCACATGAAGTACCTTCAAGAGGAAGGCTCCAAAAGCGATGAAGAAGATAGGAAATCTTCTCTAAAGGCAATGGAGAAAACGGATGTGGATATGGAGTTGTGGAAGGAGAATTCTGAAACTTTGTTCAACAAGGTCTTGGTGAAGTTCAAGGATGCAAAGAAGACATCACTTGATGAAGTTGAGAATCCGAATTAGGAGTCAACTGAAACAAGACGGAGGAAGCCACCTGTGTAAGAAACAGAGCAAGGCTTAATATCAAAAGGTGTTGTTGAGTTGTGAAGAACACTGCAACACGGAGTAAGCTTCTGTTGGGAGAACAGTGCAAGGCTACTCAGTAAAAAAGGTTCAAGGGAACTGATGAGACGTCATCAAGACGTGATGGTGATCAAAAGAGGACACCATAAGAGGATGCTTACCTCGGAGAAAAATGGAGCACAAGAGGATGCTTACCTCGGAGAAAAATGGAGCATAAGTCGGTTGAAGAGTAAACCGAAGACGACGTGAAGAAGATTCACGCACAAGACGTCACAGAGACGTGATGGTGATCAAAAGAGGACACCATAAGAGGATGCTTACCTCGGAGAAAAATGGAGCACAAGAGGATGCTTACCTCGGAGAAAAATGAAGCATAAGTCGGTTGAAGAGTAAACCGAAGACGACGTGAAGAAGATTCACGCACAAGACGTCATGGTGATCAAAAGAAGACACCGAAGAAGACGTGGAGGAGTTCACGCACAAATTTGGTGATCAAGAGGACACCAAAAGGATATAAGAAGAAATCTCACTTAAAAATGAAGACGTGAAAAAAGGTTTCGAAAACAACCAGAGAAGACGTGACAAAGCTCACGTGAAAAAAAAAAAAAAAAAAATTTGAAGGTGACAAAGGAGAAGCCTTGTGGGAAAGAGAAATCTCAAAGTGTGCAACGTCAAATACAAGTAGCAAAGAAGGTGCTCTGCACGTAACAAGCCACGGCACGTAGTGAAGAAAGGTTAGAAAGACCGAGAGAGCGTACCTAAGCCTAGAAGAAACAGATGATGAGGGTCATATGCTGTTTAGTGCAGTTGAAGAAAGATCATCATCAAACGTGAATGATGAGACATGGAAAAGGGAAATATCCAAGTGATGACAAGCCAAGAAGAGAAGATCATCAAAGAGGTGTTTCTAATTCCGGGTTTAGCCAGAAATCTGTTGAGTGTTTCTAAAACAAGAAGTTACCAAAGGATAAGATGATTCAACTCCACAGCACCAGCAGAAAAGAAAGAGCTGTGTTCGATTAAGGAGAATCGAAACAGAGCGAGGTGGAGAAGAAGTGTTCACGAAAGAGGAAAATCGATGAGTGAAGCATCCGGTCAAGAGGGAGAAAGAGAAGGGAGGTTTACCAATGACATATACAATCGTCAATGAAAGGGATTCAACCAGAGAAGAGGTGAATCATCAATGTTGAAGAAGAAGCGAGAGCATTGAAATGATGAAATCCCTAGATTGAAATTGGGGATTTAATCAAAGGACTCAAGAGGGAGTGTTAGAATTGAGTCCATGATTAAATCATTTAATATCATATGTGGTAAATCCAACGGATGTCATGTGTTACATGTGACTCACTCGAACGGGTGTGTGTGAGTAAGAGACGTAACTTGTGAGATAAGTTACAACTGTTACCAACGGTTACGTAGAGTTATGTAAACATGTATATAAGTGTGTGTGTCTTGTCTTAATAAAACAACAAGTTTCAGTTTAATCAAAAGATTTCTATTTTGTTCTTGTCTTCTTTAAAAGAGAAGAGATACTATCTCTTACTCTGTTTCTTCATAGTCTCAATAATCCAACAATACCGTTCATTTTTTTTTTTTTAAATTTTAAAAAAACTTCGTAGCTTAATCTTTACCACATGAAAGTTTAAAAACGAGAAAGTCCGAAAGTTCAAAAAACATAAAGCCCCAACTCCACAAAAAACCCATCAGAGAGCCCTAAAAACCTGACCCGACTTCACCGAAGCAAATCAATCAACGATTTCCTAAACCCGACCTAATTTCACCAAAGCTTGTGAAAGAAGCAAGCTTAACAATTCTGATCAACAATGGCGGCCACTGCATCCTTCGACTCCTTCAAGAGCTTGATACTATTCTTCAGCTTCTCTCTCTTGCTCGCCACCAACGGAGATTCCTCCAACATCTTTTCAACTCCTCTGCCATCTCTTGGATCCACCATCTCCGCCACAATCTCCTTCTGAAATTGACTGTTTACGAGAGACTTCACAGATAGCTGAAGATACAGAGCAAGGTTATCTACAATTCTCCGTAGGACGATATTCCAGTAGGATGTGATTCTCATCTTCATGTCGAAAGCCGGAATCAGTAAATGAGCGTGATACTTTCGTAGATGCGAGATCTTCACATTCCCAAATCCATTCATAGAGAAGTAGTCAGGTTTGTTCCCATTTTTCAAAACATCATACATGAAGCTCTCTTGTTCACCAGTCTTCTGAGTCCAAGACGTCATATACTCAGGGCTACATGTGTAATCCGTCAGCTTCTCCATCTCAACTATCTCCATCACTCGATTCACAGATTGTTCTTTGATCTTGGAGATTAGATTGCGACCGGCTCGTTTGATGGAAGATTGAATCTGTGGGAAATTGTCAGAATGCTTAGAAATGACTGATGAGAGAACAACTTCAACGTAGTCCCATATCTTGTTGATGAATTCAACTGGCTTGTCTTGTATACCATCAACATGTTGTGAAAGAATAGCCAAGAAGGCTGATCTTGGGATAAAATTGGGCAGTCCAACACATTTGCATTCGTCAAGGATCTTGATTTCATCCATCAAGAACTCACTCACATCCTTCGGCTTTGCTTGCAGATTATCGGAGAATTGGCTTAACATATCAGCCAAGCGAGCAGTACAATGCATGTTTTGATCATCCGGGTATTCAGAGAAGTCTCCTTGGACAAGAATTCTCAATAGAGATTCTTTAGCAGAACCAATAATATTCATCAACGCCATTAATGCTTCCCCTGTAGAAGCCATTACCATTGGTAGCTTGTTTAACTCAAGAACAGCAGTGTCCAATTTCTGGTTGATCTTGCGTACAATATTAGGCAAACATCTGGCAATCATGCTTGATTGTATAAGCATTAGCTTCTGAGCTAACACAGGGATTCCCACGATGTCTTCATCAATCAAGCTTAGCACTGGATGAGTCTTGAAAAGTAACTCTTCTTGCATTCTAGCTTCTTCATATGTCTCTTCTCCTATGCGGTTTCTGACGCACACATAACCAAGTACAATACTCACATCATCTGCTGTTACTTTCTGCAAGAGACCTTCAGGAGCCATGTCAGCCTTTGTCACAACAGCCAGAGTACGTTGACCGGTTTTGTCCACTTTTCTAGACATGCGAATGGATTCGCAGGTTGTGAAGTCGACCGTAGCTGAAAGTACGTTGAGGATGATTGATTCTTGAGGCTCAATGTACTCCATAATCATCCCAGAGATCTGCTCATAAATATTTTCCGGTTGACCATTGACTGGAACTCGAGTTATACCGGGAAGATCGACCATGGTAAGATCTGGAACACCAGCCTTCTTCACATGGAGGGTCAAGGGAGCGTCTGAGACCCCTTTACCAGACCCTGCATCACAAGTATTTTATAAGTACTTAATCATTGTCAATACTTGTTAAACCTCAAACTCATAACATTGTAACAGTTTCACCATATAGCAAAACTTAAAAAAATCAGATGAGTAAAGACCAAACTAGTAGTTCATGTAACACCTCTAGGCACTTGTGTTCAGATAAATGTCTCATTCTCAATCATCTCTCTTACAGGTTTGCAGCAAAACACACTTAACACTTAGAGAAAGAGAACTTACCAGCAATCACATCTGTTGCAGCACGAATTGCTTCAGCGATGTGTTCCTCGTCCGTAGGAACCACTTTGTCGCTATACTCAAGCCAGATCTCAGGTTCAGGGATAGAGCTTCGCTGAAGCCTCATGACAAGAGGAACCCTGGTGCAGATTCCTTGCCCACGAGGCAAACTGATTCCTGCCAAGGATTCAAGAACACTTGACTTCCCCGACGACTGGTCTACAACCACGACAATGGTGGGAAGATGGATCCCTTCTCTCATCACATTGAGGTTCCTTAACCTGTCCACAGTGTCAAGCAACGGCCTGATTCGATCATTATACGAAGATACAATCGGTGCTTCAACAAGAACAACATCTTTGTTGCCACGGGACTTCTTTTTGGCAATTGCGAGAGAAGGAGAGGTTTTTTTAGTGGCAACTTTCTTCTTACTACTAACCATATCTTCTTGAGACAAGACAAGAGTGGGAGAGATAGAGACAGAAAAGAGATGTTTTAAG